TTGGGCCTCAGAGCCACAACTCAGGGCCACACACTCCTCTCATCCCCTGGCAGAAGCCAGCTGGGGGTCAAGGTCCACAGTGGGTAGAACAAGGTGTCCACATACCCATCCCCAACCACAGGATTGTGGTCAGGAGGAGGAGGCGGAAGGACTCTAACCAAGCTGGGTCCTCAGTCCCTGATGAGCAGAGGCAAACCAACGCCGGCACTCTGCAGGTCTGAGAGGGCCCACGCACCCAGAAGTGGGGTGAACAGGCCCCTCCCCCAATGGCAGATAGGAAAAGGAAACAAAAACAGCATTTACCTGTTGTGGACTTTTAGATAGTATTTGCTGAGGAACTTTTTGTGACAAGTGGGGCATTCGACTGGCCCCACTGTGCCTCTCCTGTTCTCAGTGGGCTCAGCCACTGGGGAGCCTGAGCCCAGGGCTGGCTTGGCTACACAGGCCTTCGTGATTACGTTGGACTTTCTCTCGGCAGACACAGTCTCAGACTCAGAAACGTAATCGCCTTCCCCATCATCCTCAACTTGGACCACCACTTCCCACTAGAGCAGAGAGGCAGTAGAAGAGACCGAGGTCACCACAGAAATCAGCAGGGGGGGATCAGCTCCATTTCCATTCTAGGCCCCAACATCCCAGAGGAGTCCCCTCATCAGTGACTATTCCCTTCAAGGTCCCAGGGAAGTCAGTGGCTCTGTTCGTGGGAAATGGAAGCCTGGGGAAACACCAAGCCCCCGATGCGGCTCACTACACCCCAGGATCCCGGTCACCATGCACAGTGTTAACCCAACGCTGCAGGATGCGCCATCTACCTAGGTATAGAGAAAGCCTCTGTCCCAAACCCCGGTAACAAAGGTTCTCCCTTGGGGTCCAGGTGTATGCCAGAAAATGTCAGTCTTTCCCCCCTACCTCTGCCTCCCATTCCCAGCACCTCTGTGCACAGTACCTCATGACTTCCACCCTGTAGCTGAGCACCTTCAGCCTCGAGTGGCCTTGGGGGCACTTTGCAGTCCTCAGGCTCCTTGTCCTCTGGGGGACCAGGCCTCAGAGCCTGCTTGAATTTCACATGGAGGAAGGAAGGGCTCTCACTCTGAGCAGAGGGGCACAGTGGGGGCCTCTGAGGGCTGTGACTGTTGCTGGTATCCTGAGCCCTGGGGGCCTGACCCAGAGTCTCCACAACTTCCTCTTCCTCCAAGCCCTCTGGCTCTTTGAGGCAGCCGCTCCCATCCTGGGAGGCAAGCTTTCCCAGCCCACTCTGGCCATTTGGGGCCTGTCCCACCAGGTTTTTGGGCTTGAAGCTCTGGCACAGCTCCACAGCCTCTGGCACACGCAACTCCCTGGCTGCCAGGAGCACCTGATCCCGGTTCCCAGAGGTGAGGGCAAGGTGACCAGTGTAGAAAAAGTCCAGCAAGAGACCAAAGATCTCAGAGAAGCCGGCAGGGAGGACAACACTGCCACCTGAGCCATCTCCGTAGAGGCTCTGGAAGAAGTGGCTGCAGCAGGCGAGGACGCTCCAGTGCGCTTTGAACACCAGGCCCCCCACGTCGAGGGTGGCGTCGCAGTACTGGCCCGTCTCCCGCTGCTTGTTTAGCTCCTGCAGAACCTTCACGCTGTGCTGCACAAAGGAGCCGTCCATGGTCTGGAAGGGAGGAAGGCAGAAGGGGCACCTGGCCGGCCAAGCCGAAGAGAAAGCCCCTGGATGTGAGACAAGAGTAACAGGCGGTTTGCTCTCCTCAAACATTATCGGAGCGAGGGCTTGGGTCAAGGTTGGAGGATTCACGCTGAGGACAGGAAGAGACTGAGCGCCTCCAGGGGGACGGGGGACAGGTGAGCTAGCCACAGTGGGACCGGCCAGAGAGGATAGGCGGCGGGGGCGTAAGCGGACGGCTGGGGGCGGGGAAGTCATGGCAGGGAATAGGAGCGCCAGGGTCGTGAAAGGGTGCTGCTCGGAGCAATCAAAGCTTGGGAAAAAGAGGCGGAAGGAGAGGCGAGATGACACCGGACGAAGGAAGCGGCCGCGCGGCCAGGTGAGCGGAGCCCACGCCCCGCCCACAGGTCCTCAGCGGCCGGGCGGAAAGAGTCGCAATCACATGTCGGTTAGCGGCCAAGGCGGCCCGCTCCCTCCCGCCCTCGTCCCCCGCCCTCCTCACCTGAGAGGTCCTCACCGTGCCGGCCCCAGTGTTCCAGTCCCCGTCGCCCCCACAGCCCCCGGACCAACCGCCCGGACCGTACGTGCCCGACGGATCCTGGAAAGACAGCCGCGGTCTCTCTCCGCCGCCGGACGTGACGTCAGGGCGTGCTGGCCGGGGCGGGACGCCTCAGAGGCGTAGGGACTCTAGGTCCCTCTTCTGGGGGCGCCGTCACTCAGCGAACGACCAATGGAAAGCAGAAAGGGGCGGGGCCACGCCCGCGAAGTTGCCCAGCAACAGCAAGCTGGACGCCCCGTCTTTGCTGGGCTCCAGCTGTAATATGGTCCCGCCCTGACGCCCCACCCCGTCTCTAGGCAGGAAGCTAGCCAAGACCCAGACACGCATTTTCCCTCTTTATTGTGTATAGGGTCTTTGTTAGTCGGAATCCACTCTACGCAATGGGTGTGTGTGTGTGTGTGTGTGTGTGTGTGTGTGTGTGTGTGTTTTAAAATTGTGTAAAACGGACCCTGGTGGCGGAGTGGTTAAGCGCTGGGCGGCTAACCAAAAAAAGGTCTGCAGTTCAAATCCATCCACCAGCTACTCTTTGGAAACCCTATGGGGCAGTTCTACTCTGTTCCATAAGGTCACTATGAGTCAGAATCTACTAGATGGCAACAGTTATTATGGTGTTATTAAATGGCTTATTAAATGGTGTTAGGGTCGTCTGACCTCCTCTAACTTCAAGAGGGAGAGGAGAGAAATCACCGCCCAACATCAGCACAAGGTTGATTCCTATGAGGGGGAGGTCAGACATGCTTCCTGTCTGCAACCTTTTTACCAATTCTGACACCAGCTGTCCCTCCCAAGGCACTCTCTACTTCTATATTGGGTTGGATAATTGGTTGCAATGGCCACACAGAACTCAGAGACCATACTCAAGATTATTGAGTTTATTAGGGAAGGTTATAATTCAAGATCAGGAATAACTCAGGATACAGTTCTTCGGTCAGGACAGCTCCTCAGCCTTCCTCTGGCCCTCTCCCTCGGCCCCTGGGCCCCGCTGGTTCACCTCTGCCTTGATCAGGCAAGTGTTACAAAGCTCTTAACTCCCCAATAAGTGCACAGAGGCACCCTACTCCACCAGGAAGCCTCCTGCCCAAAGGCACTCAGCTCTTGCTCTGTGGGTCAGCACACCCACTGTAGCTACCTCACTCTATGGGCTGGGAAGCCCACTGCGTAGTCTTGTGCTAATCTCCTGGTTCTGCTGCCACGATTTCTCTGTCACTGCTTCTCATTCTTGCGGTCTCATGCTATCTCCAGTGTTACAGCTCTCTCTCTTTCTCTCTCTCTCTCCCCGTCTCCTGGGTCTAGGAGGTTCTCAGCACAGGGACCCCAGGTCCAAAGGACACACTGCTCCTGGCTCTTCTTCTTGGTGGCAGTGAGGTCCCCCCTCTGCTCTGGGATTGGCTCTCTTTTAAGCCTAGTGGGATGGTAAAACTGACCAATCCCCTCGTTAGGGTTCCATACACCTTATTTGCATGGTCCCCCCCCCAGGGGTTCCATGCACCTTATTTGCATTATTAGCAGGCTGTCTAATCCCCTTGGTAGGCCACAAGTACCTTATTTGCATAGTCCCACCCTATCACTCTGTAGGAGTTACAAGACCATGCATGGCAAAAAGAACTATATTAAATAATTCACTGCACCAGAGGCCACCCTCTGGCTCTTCTAGCCACGGTTCTTCCATATTTGGAGGATAACTTCCCCTCCCAATCATTTTACTAGTCCAAAATAGTCATTAACAATTAGTCCTTCAGTAGGGCAAAAAGTCCTCCGGGTAAGGTCTCTCAGGTCCCAGCCATTTAGGTCTGCTGCAGGTATCCATCTTATCTGGTCAGGTTTTCCAAAAGTCATCTCAGCTTCACCCTTTCTGGCATCTGATAAAATTTAACTGAGAGAATGTTATCCCCTTGCTCTGCCTCACAAGGTATCAGCATAGTAAAACCTTTAAGGGACTGTACTCCCTTAAATTAGTTTTTACAATTACAGTTTTTACAATCACAACTAGCCCTGCTGTCATGGATTGAATTGTGTCCCCCCCAAAAATGTGTGTATCAATTTGTCTAGGCCATGATTCCCGGTGTTGTGTGGTTGTCCTCTATTTTGTGATTGTAATTTTATGTTAAAGAGGATTAGGGTGGGATTGTAACACCACCCTTACGCAGGTCACATCCCTGATCCAATGTCAAGGAAGTTTCCCTGGGGTGTGGCCTGCACCACCTTTTATCTCCCAAGAGACAGAAGGAAAGGGAAGCAAGCAGAGAGTTGGGGACCTCATACCAGCAAGAAAGAAGCACCTGGAGCAGAGCGTTGGACCCAAGGTTCCTGTGCAGAGAAGCTCCTAGTCTAGGGGAAGATTGATGATGACAAGAGAAAAGCCTTCCCCTGGAGCTGACCGCCTGAATCTGGACTTGTAGTCTACTAGACTGTGAGAGATTAATTTATTTGTTGAAGCTATTCACTTGTGGTATTTCTGTTAAAGCAGCACTAGATGACCGAGATACCTGCTAACAGTCAACACTCGCAGCTGAATCATATAATCCTATCAGCATCTTCCCCTACCCTCCCTTCCCCAGACCCATCAGGAAGAGAGGAAACTATTCATTGGGGATCCTCCCTTGTCCCCCTCATTATGAGAGTAAGTACACTCACAAAAGTGTGTAAGCCAGCCACTTCATGCCTTTACCTCTCCCCATTTTACGTAGCCAATTTCTAATTTGCCCATCCCTATCAAACCAGTACTCTATCAAACAAGTACTCTAAGGAGACAAGCATGTTCCTTTTTTTTTTTTTTAATAATATTTTATGAGTTTTTGGTGAAAGTTTACACAGCAAGTTAGGTTCCCATTTGACAATTTCCACAAGCATGTTTCCTGATCTGAAGAATCTTTTGTTTTGGTTGGAACTTTGAGCATCCATAAGCAAAGTCCAGTCCAGAGAAAGCCATCAAATTGCAGCAATTTACACCAGCTCACGTTGTCAAACATCTCTCTCTCTTCTCAATTGGCAGCCTGGGGCCTGGGCTGGGGTGTTCCCACAGGCTGAGCCCAAAAGCCTCCTAGGGACCCAGGCCCCTCCAGCTGGGGAGGCTTTTAGTGCTGCCCAGGCAGTCAGGTGGAGCCCCAGCGCCTCGTGTAGTCCTGGATGGAGGCCTGGAAGTGCTCTGTGCTGTTAAGATCTGGGCGGCGAAGGATCACATAGCACTTGGGGAGGAAATAGCCACTGAAGCCTCCACACAGGCTGCTCAGCACAGCCAGCACGTTGACAATGGGCAGGTACCTGCCCTGGTAGACGCTGGCCGTGGTGAAGAAGGTGATCCATGACACAAAGTTGAGGAGCAGGCTGAAGGTGACGCACTTGGCCTCGTTGTAGTTCTCTGGCAGGTCCTTGCCCAGGTAGCTGCATGCAAAGGCGCTGACAGAGAGGAGGCCATTGTAGGCGAAAGACAGTATGAAGCCCAGTGAGTTGGCCTGGGTGCACTCAAGCACCACCAGCTGGGGAAAATGCTCGTATTCCCTGGTGGGCAGCGGGGTCCACACCACAAGCCACGAAAGACAGATCAGCAGCTGGGCCATTGAGCTGAGCACCACAAACAGGCCAGCACCGTGGTTTTGGACCCAGGCGTGGTAGAAAGTGGGCACCTTTGCAGAAAACTTGAAGATGAAGACCAGCTGGAAGGAGCGGATAGTCAGGCAAGACAGGAAGATGGTGAACCCGAGGGCAAAGGGGGCCAAGCGCAGCAAGCAGGTGGACAGTGTGGGCTCCCCAAAGAAGCAATAGAGGCTGCAGCTGCCCACCGCCAGAGAGCCCAGCATGAGGAAGCACAGCCTGCCCCCTGCCGACTTTACCACAGGAGTATCAAAGTGCCAGGCAAACAGGCCAGCAGTCCCACCCAGCAGCAGCAGCAGCAGCGTATTAGCTGCCAACAGCACCCAAGAGATGGGATTATGCCAGGTGAGAAACACCACGGTGCGTGGGAAGCAGGTCTGGCTTCCTTGGGGTGCCCATTCTTCCTTGCCACATGGCTGGCAGTGGTAGAGGTCTGGAAAGGAAGGTGGAGATGGCTCCTGAGAACCAGGTGAGCAGAGCTGGGAGAGCTGTACCAGAGGAGCTAGGCTCTTCCAGGCCCACTGAAATGGGGGTAACCCTGAGTGGGGTCCCCAGGCCACATGGGACACACAGGTAGGTCCTGTATGGTCCCAGAAGGGATTTGCAAACCAAGAGGTCCCTAGGAAGGACCTTAGCCTAGCAGCTCCTCCCATATACCAGTAACATTCTGATGGGATGGAAGCAGGCAGCCCCTAAGGAAGCTCCTTTGCATCTCTATCCCAAGCCCTTTCACTAACCAGATCCACCTTCCTGAGCTGCTGTTCTGTGCATTCTCTGACTCTGAGAACAGAAGTGATACGAAATTCCCACCCCAGCAGAAATATTCAAAGTAAAGAATGTGGCCTCAGAAGTCCAGCACTGGGCTGAGGAAAGCATTTCCTTAGGTACTTCAATTTGCTCTCTGATCTCAACCTTGCATCACTGGGTGGGGGGTGGGGCATCGGGGGTGGGCATGCTGGTTTTGTGGGCTGCAGACCTGCTAGTGTCTATGTTCAAGGTGCTGCCTGTCTTTGGCAAGGGCAATAGAAGGGACGCTATACAGATAGGAGGGTACAAAGGGAATGATAGCTACATCCGTTTGGTTGAAGAGTTTGAAGTTACTATCAGTCTGCACCTGTAGGAAGTATGATGAAGGACACACCTGGCCTGAGGTTTTCACTTTGTCATTTCTTTCTGCTTGATCAGAATTCAGACTGGTGGTGGGTATCCTCCAACCAGAGTGTACCTAACAGCAGAGTGCCTGGGACCCTGGCTCTGGGGCCAGGGGTGCACATGTGGCCTGAGGCAGGGCCTCTCGTCTGCACCCACTCACGTGCCCACTCACCACTCTCGTTGAGGAAGGTTCCAGCCTCACAGGACACACAAGTGAAGCAACAGTGGTGGACACCCGTGACCATGCGCCGGTACCCTTTTGAACAGTTTTTGTTGCACACAGACTTGGGCACCTGCAAGAAGACCAAGTGTTCTACGGCCATGTGGAGGGGCCCAAGTCAAGGGACAACTCACATGTAGAATGAAAGGACAGAATCTCTGTGTGTCTGCCCCACCGCTCACTCCCAATGGTGTGAACCAACACCCACCAGGCACCTGTCTTCTAGTCCCCGGCACCTCTCAGGCAGGGCTGAGTAGAGCATGCTATCCTGGTACCTGGGGTCCCTCTCCTGCTTTGTGAAGAGTGTGAGCATTGCCCCCACTCTACTCCTGAGGCAGTCACCTTGGGAGAGACTGCATCCCTACTACCTGGTTGTTCTTTCTGTGCCACTGGATTTTGGTCTTATTGATGTCCAGCCGAACCGGAGACCATGTGGAAGAGCCAATGACTCTGAAGCTCCACTCTGGGCCACTCCAGTCCCAGGTAATTATGTCATAGCCACCAAGAAGGTTCCCATGGTTGTTAAAGGTCAGGTTGTCCTTCTGGATCTGCTGTAGAAGCTGAAACACACAGAGATCATGAAACCACCTCAGAGGACATAGGCTGCCCCTCCTCTGCCCGCCCAGTTCCCTCCCTGCCTGGGGCCTTCATGGGCTACCATCCTGGGTGATTTCAGCCTGCCTGGATGGTCTGTTCCTTAGAGCCCCCTGCCCTCCTGGAAAGTCCCTCAACCCTCTCAACCAGCTTCCTGAGAAGAGGTCTTTAATGAAGGAGTTCTTTAGCGTAAGCCCTGGATCTTGTCCTTGATGCTTCCAAGGCAGGGTGGATGGGGGAGGCAAGGTTCAAAGAAGAAAAGGGACCAGTCCTCAAGTCAGGCCTTTGTGCGCGCCCCCCCACAACCAAGGGTGGCCAGAGAGTAGCCACATTGCTTGCCCCAGGAGTGGTTGTTCCCTTTGATGCAGATGCCTGCGGCTAGGCTGTCTTACCTGCCAGGGGTACACAAGGCCCGCGGAACAGGCTCCTGAGGGGCAGCCCAGGAGCTGGTGGAGGCCATAGGCCACGGCATACACAGCCCGGTAGGAGCTGTAGGCAGAACTCATGGAGAAGGTACCAAGTGTGGGCATTTTGTCCCGCGTGAAAGTCCAGCACTTTCTGCAGAGCTGGTTGCTGCTGCACCAGGAGCCCTGGGGGCATGATCTGAGCACCCCCTTGTCTGCCCGGACATAGGCCTCTTCAAAGTCCTTCAGGCCCAAGACCACCCTCTGCTGGATGGCCACACCCAGCACCGTGCCAATGTCCCGGATCCCCGGCATCTCAGTGATGTGGCTGGAGATGGCCCAGTCCGCAGAGGCAACCCACACCTTGTCAGTTAGCTTGGCCAGCACCACAGACTCAAAGAACACCTTGGCAAGCTGCCTACCAGCATAAACGACCACAACAGTGGTCCTCACCTGGGCCAAGTCGTGTATCATGCCCCGCATCTTCTCGTCACCTGCCCGCGCTGAATAAGGCATGATGCCCTTAAAGGCAATGCAGATGCCCTTCCGGCTGGCCTGCTCCTCTAGCTCTTGCACCCCTAGCTGTCCATAGTCGCCATTGCTGCCCACCAATGAGATCCAGACCCAGCCAAACCTCTGCAGCAGCAGCACCATGGTCTTCACCTGGTTCTTATCGCTGGGGATCATGCGCAAGAAAGACGGGTACTGCCGCTTGGCACTGAGCATCATGCTGCTGGCCTCGTAGCTGATCTGTGGGAAGTTCAATGCAGGAAAGTCACAGGGATCAACCTCAGTGAGGCCCCAGGGCTGGGTCCTGTGCTGGGTGCTGGGACACAGAGGGTACTGAGACATGGTCCCTGCCCTGGTCCTCAAGGGGAGAAGCACATGACGTATGAAATTGACAAATTACATGCAAAGAACAGGGCAGGCCCCACAGGGAAGGACTCTACTGTGGACAAGGGGGCAGGGTCATGCACCTAAAGCAGAGGAAACAAAACTTGTGTGCGAGGAGTGAAATAGAATGATGTGTTTGGGGACCTAGAAGGAGTTCTGTTCAGCTGGAGGAGCACTGGTCAGATGCTAGAATGAAGGAGAACGCGAGTAGGTCAAGTCAACCAATTGGCAGTGAGTCACTAGGCCTTTCTTCTGAGTCACCTCTGGGTGGACTTGAACCTCCAACCTTCTGGTTAGCAGCCGAGTACATTAACAGTTTGCACTACCCAGTCAGGGAGGCCTTAACTCTTGGCCTAAGGGGCTTGGGCTTTATCCTATAGGCCATGAGGAGCCCCTAGGGGTTTATGCAGAAAAGTGCTTGTTCAGATGTGTGTTTTAGCAGTATATCTCTGATTTCAGTGAGGAGTATGTTGGAAAAGGCTCAGGACTGGAACCAAGCAGAACCCACAGGGAGCTGTTGGCATCATCTAGGTGAGAGATGGTGGTGGTCTGGATTAAGGCTATGGCAGTGGCAATGGAAAAGAAGGGGTGGACTTGGCAGAGTTTAGAAGATAGAATGAGTGGCCTTGGTAACTGACTAAGCATGGAGAGCAGGGGGAGGAAGAATCTAGATAGGACTTCTGGGTTTCTGGCTTGGGTAGAGACGGTTGTGTGGTCAAGTGGGCTGAGAGGGGTGTGCAGAAAGAAAAGAGGATTTGGTTGTACAGCAAGGTGACATCAGTTTGGGGCCTGCTGGGTCCAGGAAGTAGAGATGTCCGGTGAGCATCTAGAGATAAAGCTCTAATGTCCAGAAGCTGGAAGTGAAGCCATGAGCCCATGGCCTGCATGGGATCAGGAGAGGAAAGAAGAGGGCAGGCCTGTGTTCAGGTTCCTTCTCAGAGGAATAGGGGATGACGATTCTGTCTGGGAAACAGAGAAATAATGTGTAGGGGAGAGGGAAGATCATAAATGCCGAGCAGAGAGCTTCATGGAGGGACTGGCCAAAATGTCACAAAAAAGTCACGCAAGATAAAGAAGGACTGAAAAGCGCTCATTGGATTTGGGGATTTAGAGGGCCTTCCACATCACAGCAAGGACAAGAGTGGTGGAGGCAGAACTCAGGACTGAGGAGCAAATGAAAAATAAGGAAGCAAGCAAGAATAGAGAACTCTGCTGCTAAGTTTCAACGGAAAGGGGCAGAGAGAGACCACATGGACAATGCTGAGCGTACAAGTGTCTGGAAGGGTTTGGAGGGGTTCAGGCAAGCTCATAAGCCAAGAAGGAGCTTTAGGGAGAGACTGACAAGGAGGAGGAGAGGGGGACAATTGATGGGCCGAGGCAAGGGGACAGGATGGCATTGAGCATAGGTGTGGGTTGCTACCATCTCTCAGCCAGGAGGGAAGAAGGCAGGAAGGAAGGGGGGCAGGTAGATGTGTTTACGTGGTGGGAAGCTAAGGGTGTTCAGTTCTCAAGGAATAGCCGGGAGCAGACTGAAGGGCAGACGGCATTTGGCTAAATGCAGTAGTTTCGAAGAAGAATGGGTTTCTCCACAAGGGTGGAGGCAGGGAAGCCTGGAAGCAGCAACTGGAAAGGAAGGAGCACTGGGGCAGTGGTCACAGGGGGCAGGCACCTCTGCCACCTGAGCCATGTGGCCAGGCTGGCCTCCAGCGGCATAGTAGCTCCTGCCCACCCGCCCTGCCCATGCTGGACTTCCAGAGGAGGAAATAGGCAAACTGCTGAAGCCCCAGCTTACCACGGGCACCAGGAAGGGGCTCAGCATGGCTGCAGCAGTGGCGGCATGGCTGGTGGTGTCAGGCCCAATCACTGCCACTACCTTGGGGGAGAAGTAGGACAGGTTTTGGTGGATCTCTATGTGTCGCATCCCCCGCGGGGTGAGAACACTCAGCACGGCATACACAACGGCAGACTCCGAGCACACGTCGTAAAGCTCATAGCCCAGGGTGACGTTGGGCAACAGGGACGTGGAGTTGTTTATCTGCTCAATGGCGAGCCGCATGGCCTGGAAGAGGTGGTAGCCGTGGCCGCTGAAGTTGTTGGGCCTATAGGAAAGCAAAGCCAGAGAGCCGAGAAGGACAGGCCCTGCAGAAACCCTCTACAAAACCAGTTGCCATCAACTCCTCTCTGACTCATAGTGGCCCTATGTGCGTCAGAGTAGAACTGTGCTCCGTAGGGTTTGACTACAAAATGTTACTACCACTTGGCAGTTTCTTATATGGTTAAATCTACCAACCAATTGCTGTTGAGTTGACTCTGACTCATGGTGATCCCATGTGTGTCAGAGGAAAACTGTGCTCCATAGGGTTTTCAATGGCTGATTTTTTGCAAGGAGATCACCAAGGCTTTCTTCCTGGGTACCTTTGGATGGACTTGAATCCCCAACCCTTCAGTTAGCAGCCGAGCATATTAACTGTGCCACCCAGGGACTCCACTGAGATCCTTTGCCCTCCTAGAATCCCAGGCTTTCGGGGTAGAGAGGAAGAGTCCCGGGGTGGCAAAAATGGTTAAGCACTCAGCAACTAACTGAAAGGTTGGCAGTCTGAGCCCACTCAGAGGCACCTTGGAAGAAAGGCCTGGTGATCTGCTTCTGAAAGGTCACAATCATGAAAACCCTATAGAGCAATTCTACTCAGCACACATGGGGTTGCCATGAGTTGGAGCCAATTTGATGGCAACCAGATAGGCGGGGTAGAGAGGAACCTCCAGGTCATCTATCCAGTCCCCTATAGCCATGGCCTCAATCTGGGCCCTGGGGCACACAGATCCTGGAAATGTTGGAGAGATAGGGGAACTGATGGCCCCCTTTGCGATCAGCATATCAACACTGAAAAGCTTGAAGTCCTGCAGCAGAGAAATCTGCTCAACCTTGTGTACCTCATGCTTCTCACTGGATACTCGTGAATTATGCTCGTGGCCTACACTGGGAACTGCTGTCTGGAATCAAACAGGGACATGCTGGCGACATGATTCAGTCCTGCTCAAAGACTGTGCTAACCCACCCTGTTTTCCAGCCTCTCTACTCATTTGAAGGTTCTTCCATCATTTCTATCACTTCTGTCCTCTGAGACACTTGGAAGAAGCTCAGTGCCCCGGCAAGAAGATAACCCTTCAGTTATCTGAAGCCAATTTTCATGTCTCCCTCTCCCTTTCCCTCTCCCTCTCCCCCACCCCTTGCCCCACTACTTAACCTCTCCTCCTAGCTGTGTCTTCTCTTCCCACAGCCCGGCTGTCCAGACCCTTTGTCCTGGGCCAAACACCAGCTGTGCTTCCCACTGAGGGTACCTTGCAGCAGGAGCCCTGATTCTCTAGCCTTATGAATCTGTGATTTGCATAGACCACAAGAAACTATTCGCTTTAGAAGAAAAGCAGTTGGTTTTCTCTACCTAGACTGTCAACTTCATGAAGGCTCCCACCTAATTTGTTTTTGCTGACCCTGAAGCATCTACTGCTGTGTGTACCCCCTCCCTCTCTGTGGAGAACCCCACTTGCCGTAGGGGAGACTAAAGAGTTTAGAACCTAGGTAGGAGTAGGGAGGAGATGGGAGAAGGTTAAGGGCCACCCTTGCTTGATTCTTGCCATCTAGTGACATCATACAGCCAGAAAATAACTTGAATGGGATCATAACACAAGGACAAAGTAACGTGTCTCAAAGTGGAAACTGGGCAGATGTGCCTGGGAAGGCCTAGCCCACACTCAAAGGTGGCTCAAAGGTGGCCATTATGGATGGATGGAGGGATTGGGGCTGTTCAGGTGAGGGGTTGGTCCAGGCAAAGCTCCTGGCTGAGGAGGGCAGGCCAAGGGTCCCCACAGGCCCCACTAGATGATGACTCTGCTGACCCCTCACTCACCTGTCACATAGCGTCACCTCCGGTTTGCGTCTCACCCCTGGACTTTCGCCGTGGAGAGGGAACAAGCCTGCTATGATGTAATCCCCTGGGAGGCTGAAGTCAGGGGAGGACTCCACTTCTTGACAGGCTAAAGCCCAGCAGCAGCAGGCCAGGGACAGCTGCAGGCCCAGCAGGTGAGTGGACAGGGTGAGCATGCTGGCCAATGCCCGCACCTGGCATGGCTGAGGAACCTCTGCGATGCCAGGCTGTTTAAATAGAACACCAGGCAGCTGCCTGGATGCGTAGCAACCTCATGCCTGTGAAAGGGGTGGGACGTGGACCTGGTGTAGAGACCGGGTGTTTGCCCTGGCCTTCCGGGCCTGCGGTCCCTTCAGGAACCGGGCAAGGCAAAGGCGCGATGCAAACCAGGCGGCACCACGGGCCTTCCTCTCCCCGCAGTTGTGGTTTTGTCCTTGCTCTGCGAGCTCTGTCGTTTTCTGTTCCAGGCGACAGGGGGTGCAGGGCGTCTGTCAGGGAGCTGTGGGCTCTAGAGCCTCTTCACCTGGGCCAGCCTCAGTTTACTGAATGAGACATGACTAGGAGTTGACACCCCTTCTCCCCTAGGCCCCAGCTTTCAGACACTGAAATTTTGAGTGAATCATCCTGGTTTCGCCTAGTTACCTAGCACCCAGGGTTGCTCTCTTCAGTCCGAAGACAAACGCATGCAAACAGCGGGTATGCAAATGATCTGGCTTTGCTTAAAACACCAGTCCCGGGACTTTTTCTGCACGAACTAGGCTGCAGTAATGTGGTTTTCCGGAGAGGTGGCCCCCGCGGCTGGACCCGGGGTTTCTAGCTTTCTCTCTCAAACCTGCCAGGGTGAGTTTTTGCATAATGTAAATAAAGCCCGCGGGGACTGGCCCTGCTCGGTGTCGCAGAGGCGGCGGCGCCCTAGAGCACGCCCTGGGCTGCCTGGAGCCTCCGAGGGGCGGGTGGAGACACCAGGTTCTCTTCCGGGGTCCGGCAGGTGCCGCCGGCAGAGGGCGCCAGGGGCTCCGAGGCCGCTCCTTCTTCTGACTCCACGGGCCGCGGGGCGGAGCGACGAGATCTCGTGATAACTCGCGTGGCAGGCGCCGGCGGCCCAGCATGGCGGATTCACTGCTGCTGGTTAAGCGGGGTTCCTGCCGCTTCATGCCGTCGCGGCCCCGGAAAGCCCGGCCCCAGTTCATCCTTAGCCGCTGGCTCCGCTGCCGGCCCAGGTCCCTGCGCTGGTGCAGCCGGCGGCGACTGCGACGGCGGCTGCTGCAGGCCCAGGCAGCAGGCGTGGACTGGAGGGAGAGCAGCTGTCTGGTGTCTGGCGCCGCGGGGGAGGCAGCAGCCCGGCGGCTCAAGGCCGCGGTCCGCCGCCCAGCTCCAGCCGCAGCCCCCGCCCCTGCCCCGGCGGTCCCCAAGTTTACCCGCGTCCCGCCGCCGCTACCGGCGGGGCCTGGCCGCGCGGTGCTGCTGCTGCCGCTTGAGCAGGTGGGTCGCGCAATGGGAGCCCCTGGTGGGCAGAGAGGGAGGGAGACGGAACCCTCAGGGAGTTCTGTCTTTGAGGAGACCGTGATCGCCCCTCTGCCAGTTTTCCGGCTGCAAGTTGTTGAGTCCATTTCCCCTGGCGGTGGTGTTGAGCAGCAGGGTAACAAGCACTCCTGCTGAGGGGAATCTAGACCTTTGGAGCTGAAAGGGACTATAGTAGTGGTGGTAGTGGCAATAACAGGTCGCATTTACTGGGTGCTTAGAAGTACCACGGTCTGTTCTGGCATTTTTAATACTCCTAGCTTTCTGTGGAGTAATAATTGGTATGAGTATGCTTATTACAAAGAAACAGCAGTATAGGTTAGGTAGCTTGCCGCAAAGTTAAGCAGTTAAGAGGCAGCGCCAGGATTCTGACCCAAGCAGTCTGATTCTTCACCTGGATGCTAGTCTAGCAGGTCCCCTCCAGTGCTAAATTGGGGATATATGGTATTCAGTGGTGGGCCTTTGTAAGGGCAGGTGGTAGAGTCTGTCAGAGCCACGAGGACAGAAGAGCTGGGCTTCATGTAGTCAGGGTTCACTAGGACCTTAGGTTAAAAATATTAAGTACGTGTTTATCACCTAGTACAATGCGATCACTTACTTAGAAATCAGCCAGGTTTTGATATGTGAATAGTGAGTTAAGATTTTAGAATTTTTCAGTCGTTGACAACAGGATTAATAATGTTATTGTTTTTCTTTCTCTTTTCTTTCCCTTCTAGTCTTTTGTTTTTGGCGGAATCTGTCGTGTGACTTGTCTCTATGGCCAAGTACAAGTGTTTGGTTTTAACATCAGCCAAGGCCAGCCTGCCCGTGAGGTCTTCTCTGCCTATACCAACTCTCTGCTTAGTATCACAGCAGTTCATTATCCGATGCCTGAGAAAAGCAAGAAGGAGATGAAAAGGGAAGTCCGAACTTTGCTTAGAGCTCATCTTCTCCGGGGTAATCAAAAGAACGGGTGATTTACTGAAGGCCTACTGTAATAAGGCTAATAATTTTTAGATGCCTGCTATGGTCTAGGCATTACGTTAAGCAGTTTACATTATCTGTTTAAATCCTCGCAACGATACTTAGAGTGAAACTGCTGCTTTTTTCACATTTTTTACTGAGAAAAATTGCCCAAGGCCACACAGTTAGTATGTAGCAAACCCAGGTGGACTTCTCCACTTAGGTGTGTCCCTGTTATACAGTGGGGCCTCTTAAAAGAGCCTCTCAGACATAATTCCTACTCTCAAAAAGTTTACAGTTTAGCTGAGGAGGTACTAAAGGGCATAGAATTTAGCCGAGTTCTTGTTTATGAGGTAGTTTATTTTTGTGTTCACAGATAACAGACGTCGGTTGATGAAGTATTTTTTTCCTCTGTGTTCCATTGTGTTGCTGGAACGTCTGAAAACATCAACTACAGAGTTCATAATCAGCCATCCAGGTTTATCTTACGTCTTCTTCCAAGAGGTAGAACCAGTTTTCATTCACAGTTTTGTCAATTACTTGCACCAAAACAGTCGTCAAATGGTATTTGTAGGATGCTCTCTCAGAAGACCAGTTTGTTCATCGTGTTAGTGCTGTAGGTCATGCAGAACGTAATACACGTATACAGTTAGAAAGAAGGAAACGTATACGGAAAAAAAATTCAGCATAGAAAGGTATGTAGTGAAAGATATCTCCCCTCCCCTTCCTTGATTTCATTCCCAGGTGAAAGCAACCATTTCATATTGTAGTTTGTTAAATGCTGTTTGGTTTTTCCATGGTTGTCTTTATGAATTCAAATGGAATATTTGATTAAAGCTTTATTTCTTGATTTATTAACTTGAGACAGTGTAAATTGTCTCCAAAATATGACTGGATAATTTAAATGCACTTACACTTTCTTCCGTCTGTCTTTCCTCACCTCCACATTTTTTGACCATATTATTTTCCTAAAGTGAAGTTCTATTGCCGTAATGGTCTTCCATGAGCTGATAAGTTGAATCTAAAAGTTGGAAACCAATATAATCCTTTCAGAGGAGTCCTGGTGGTGCAGTGGTTAAGTGCTCGACTGCAAACTGAAAGGTTGGTGGTTTGAACCCACCAGCCACTCTGTGGGAGAAAGATGTGGCAGTCTGCTTCCATAAAGATTTAGTCTTGGAAACCCTGTGGGGCAGTTCTGCTGTGTCCTGTAGGGTCACTATGAGTCAGAATTCAACTCAACAGCAGTGAGTTTTTTGGTTTTGGTTGTAATTCCTTCATTCAGTAGATAGAGTACCCATCGTTTGCCAGGTGCTAGGAATGCCTCAGAGCCCTGGTGGTGCAGTGGTTAAGAGCTCGGCTGCTAATCAAAAGGTTGGCAGTTTGAATCCACCAGCCACTCTTTGGAAACCCTATGGAGGAGTTCTGCTCTGTCCTATAGGGTCACTTTGAGTCGGAATCGACTAGACAGCAACGAGTTTTACTGGTAGGAATACCTCAGTGAATACAGTACAAACATTTCTGTCTGATGGAGCTTATATTCTAGTTGGAGAGAGACAGAATAAACAAAACAGAGAAGTAAATATGTTGTATGTTAGGTATCTAGCAATGATTGTGAGGATGGCACAGGACCTGGCAAGGTTTCATTCTGTTATACATGAGGTTGATATGATTTGGAGCAGTGTTAGAGATCTAAGTGCTCTGGAGAAAAGCAGCAGGGAGTGTGGGGGTCGTTTGCATTCTTAAATAGGGTGACCAGAGTAGACCTTGCTGAGGAAGAGGAGAGGAGCAGGTGTTCAGGCACCATAGGTGCCAGGGAAGGCCAGTGTGGCTGGAGGTGGGAGGGGGACTCAGATCACACAAGGACTCTGGCTTTTACTTGAGTGGGTGGGAAGCCACTAGGAGGTTTTGGGCAGAGGCATGACAGGATCTGACTTAGTTTTTCTTTGTATACTGTGTTTTAGGTGGAAGTTTACAGAGCAAGTTAGTTTCGCATTCAACAAATCGTACACAAAGTGTTCCATGACATTGGTTGCAGTCCCCACACTATCAGCACTCTCCTTACTTCCGCCTGGGTTCCCCATTTCCCTTTGTTTGGTTTTCCTACCCTTCCTGCCTTCTCATCTTTACTTTTGGGCAAATGTTGCCCTTTTGGTTTTGTATAATTGTTTGTCCTATGGAGCATGTTCTTTTCAGGTAGTATTGTTTATTTTGTAGGCTTGTCTGTTGCTTAGCTGGACAGTGGTTTCCAGGAATGGTTGTAGTTCCAAGTCAGAGGAGTGTCTTAGGGCCATAGTCTGGGGTGTTCCTCCAGTCTCTGTCAGGCTGGTAAGTCTAATAAGTCTGGTCTTTTTTATGAATTTGATTTTTTTGTTCTACATTTTTCTCCCTCTCTGTCCAGGACCCTCTGTTGTGATCCCAGTTAGTAGTGGTAGCCCAGCACCGTCTAGGTCTTCTGGTTTCGTGGTAGTGTAGGCTGTGGTGCATGTGGTTGACTTAGATTTTAATAGGATCATTCTGGTTTCTGTGTTGAGAATATACTGAGGTAGAGCAAAGGCAGAAAGTGGAGACTGCTTAAGAAACTACTTGTAAAATCAAGGCAAGACATGATGGTGGCCTCAGCCAAGAACGTAGTCAGAAGTGTTCTAATTCTAGATATGTTCTGAGTAGAGCTTATAGGATTAGGGGGCAGGCTGTAGGTAAGGTGTGAAGAAGAATCAAGAAATAACACCAGGCTTTTTGGCCTAAGCAGCCAGGTGCATGGCGTTAACTAAGATGAGGAGACTGCAGGAGGAGCAGGTTTGGGTGTGTGAACTTCGTGGTGCCTGTGACAGCCAATTGGAGATGTCAGGTGGACAGTTGAATATATGAATCTGGAGTACAGGAAGGAGGTAGGAGATATAAATTTGGGAGTCTTCAGAGAGGGTGCTGAAGGTTGTGATATGGAATGATAATACCAAGGGAGTTGGTTGAGGTCTGAGCCCTGGGGCACTCCAGAAGAGCTCTAGGCAAAGGAGACTGAGATGGAGCAGACGCTGGAAGAAAATATCCTGGAGGCCAAGCAAAGTCTTTAAAGGAGACTGACATGACGCTGTGTTAAATGCAGATGGTAAGATCAGGCGTAAGAAAGGACCCTTGCATATAGAAGCATGGTCTGGAAGAGAGCGGTTTCCCTGGATAACTGATTGGGGGAGACTTCCCTGGGAAGGGATTAGTGATGAGAGAGTTTGCTTTTGTAGAGTTTAGCATGTGAAGGGAAGGAAAGAAATGAAGTAGTAGCTGCAGGAGAAGTGTGATCAAGAGAGCTTTTTTTTTTAAAGGATGGATTGAAAAAAACCTGTTTGAACACACGTGAGAATGATCCAGAGGAGAGGGGAACTGATGATGCTGTAGAGAGAGAGACTGGCTGGCGCTGTGCCGGTGGGTCCACCACAAGGGGAGGGTCTGGGGCCCATGCAGAGGGGTGGCCCTGGGAGTGCTGGCACTTCATG